GAGCTGGGCTCCACTCTAGCGTGTGCACTGAGTAGCTGCACCCCAGGCCCGAACTCTCGGCCTCATGGCCCCGTCTCACAAATGTGCAGAGTATGGTTTCACTTCCCTTTTTTTAAAACAACTTCTTTTAAAAAATTGATTTTGGAAAGGGAAGAAGGGAGAGAGAGAGATAGAGAGAGAGACAGAGAAAGAAACATCCATGTGAGAGAGGCACATAACATCCTTGACCTTCGGGTGTAAGGGAGTAAGGCACCTGNTACAGTGAGAATATTTAATTGGTTTAAGTTGTAAAACACACACAAAGGCTGTCCGTCAATTAATCAACAAGCACGTTTACAAAGGCACTTTTCCTTGTCTGGCGTCTAATTCAGTATCATGAAAATGCCTTTGTGTTCCTCAAACTTGGGAAACTGAACACTCCAGAGTGTGCTGATTTCACTCCTCTCTTCATAAAGAGGAGCAGACAGCTGCAAATGGCGCAAACATGTCCCTTGCATTATCCGAGCCCTAGAGTCACCGGAGCACAGCGGCTGCGACAGGCCTGCCCTCTAACCACAGGCACCTGCATCGCGGGGACAGCGCAGAGGACAGCTGGGTGCACGCTGCTCTTCCGGAGCCGTCACTGGCCTGAGCGCTGCGGGCCGCTCCCGCTCCCGCTCCCGCTCCGCCGCGCTGGGCCCCCCACCGGCCTCTGCGCTCCCCCGGCCCGGCCAAGCTCTCTGCTGCTGCTTGTGTCCCCTCAGCCCTTTACCTCTGCTCTCACCACTCCCTACCGGGCAGGCCTGGCCACCTCGCTCAGCTGTCACTTGCCGCCTCAGGAAGACAGTCGATGTCTGTCTCTCCTTCTAGATTCAAAGTCGCTCAACACTATGGAGCATATTTGACGCTTTATTGTAGCGCCNTGTAATTTCCCTCCTCCATGGAGTATGGAGAAACCAGCTCATCAAAACCAGGCTCTTGACTGATCGAAGGGTGATACAAACAAAATTAGACATAAAAAGCTTTACACCTGGAGAAACAATTATTTATGAGTGAAACAAACACAGAAGAAACAAACACACAAGGAGTACAAAAAGTAATTATGTCAGACATTAAAATATTAACAGCACATATAAACAAATGGGTTGGCTCATACTGTGAAATGGTAAATGGACTGAAGAAAATATGTTCCATTTTCGCTTATCTACAGCCATGAAAGTTAACACTGCACAACCTTTGGCTCTTTCCCATTCCCGTTTGTAGAGAAGACGGCACGCTCTTCAGCGCGCCCCTTCCCTCTGCTGGGCAGGAGGCTTCCTGCACACATTTTGCTTATGTATCTGTCAATAGTTTCTGCAGGTCAGTGTAACAATCGAATTATTTGATCTCTTTTAAAAAGCATGCTCCTTGCCCAGCTGGTGTGGCCCAGCCCTTGAGCATTGACCTAGGATCCAGGAGGTCGCAGTTCGATTCCCGGTGAGGGCACATGCGCGGGTTGCGGGCTCGATCCCCAGTGCGGGGCGTGCAGGAGGCAGCCGGTCAAGGACTCTCTCATCATTGATGTTTCTCTCTCTCTCTCCTTCTCCCTTCCTCTCTCTGAAATCAATAAAGATCTATATACTTTTTAAAAAAGCATGCTACTTTTTGAACGAAAAAACTTTTAAAGAAAAAGCTTACTCATTTCTTTATGGGGGAGTTGGCACAAGAGGTTTAGAAAGGTTCCGTATACTTTCTCCACTGCATTGATGGGGTTTCGCTCCCCTTTTGGGTACAGGGGCATGAGCCATTTAACACTCAGTGGGGAGAGCCTGTGGAAGGGACAGTGACAGGCACCTCAGTGGCGCTCGACTCCAAGGGGGTACTCCTAAAGGCAGGAGCTGGGCTCCACTCTANACAGTGACAGGCATCTCAGGGGCGCTCGACTCCAAGGGGGTACTCCTAAAGGCAGGAGCTGGGCTCCACTCTAGCGTGTGCACTGAGTAGCTGCACCCCAGGCCCGAACTCTCGGCCTCATGGCCCCGTCTCACAAATGTGCAGAGTATGGTTTCACTTCCCTTTTTTTAAAACAACTTCTTTTAAAAAATTGATTTTGGAAAGGGAAGAAGGGAGAGAGAGAGATAGAGAGAGAGACAGAGAAAGAAACATCCATGTGAGAGAGGCACATAACATCCTTGACCTTCGGGTGTAAGGGAGTAAGGCACCTGGCCGGGGCGGGGTTTCACTTCTTAAAGAGTTAACCCTAAGACACATGCACACTTCCACATTTCAGTCATCATCTTCCCACTCATGACATATCTCTCCCATGAAACACTTCAAAAGGTCAATTTTTACCCTGAATTCAAAAATGTTGGTTCTTTGTATCCATTATGATTTCAATTTTGTGGAAAATTAGGTTATTTCTCAAACTTATTTTCTTGGAGCACAATGTGGTACTAAATATTCAGAGGCACACACCACTTCTGGGAACCTTCGTTCCACATTTAAAGCTGAAATTTCCAAGTTTTCCATCACATTATATAAATCAGGCCATTGTCATGTCTGCATCAAGACCTGTAAGTGAGTAATTTATAGAATTAATGATGGCCCTGGCTTTTGGTAGCTACAACATTAAGATATCTTAAGGAAAGCTAAACTTTGATTTACCTTTCATGTTTAATATTACCATAATCTGATACATGTTCTCTATATCAATAATCATAATAAAATTAAGAATTGGTATACTTATATACCTTGGTATGTAAAATTTGGGAGTGTGGAACAAGAGTTAGAGATCTCAATGCAGAAGGGAAAACACACATTGAAGAAATAAGCTCCCCATAGCAACAGAGTCATCTTGTCCCATAGTGACTGTACCAAAATAACTTATCTGAAAGCCCTGGACATTTAAATTAATGGAAAATTGAGGAGAACATTAAAGACTCATTACCCAATGGTGATTTATGTATTAGCATTAATAGTCCAAATATTCTTCCATCTGCTGAGAAATAGATCTTCAGAGGTCTAACATTAATTTTAATAAATCTAGTTTTGGATTCAGTTTTCCACAAACAGAACTTATTAAAAGAATTTGCAGCACCACTGTGGGAAAATCCTTAAGTTTCTTATGATTGAAATCTGTTCAGAAATATGAAAATAAAGAAACCATTAAAACAGATATAAATATCAAAGAATGGAAATGACATCCTAAGAAATTACATAATTCATTGTCTATTAAAAGACTGCTTTTCCAGTTTGTTGATTATGGTAATTTCTCAGTTCTGATTTTTTTCTGCTAACTAGTCATATCCCTGTTAATTAACAACCATATCAAAATGTGGAAAAAACCGAACATTTTAAAAATCACAAAATATTTGAATTGGAATAGTCCTCAGAGGGCATGTGCTGAAACCACTCAGTTTACCAATAGGGAAGTGAGGGCAGGTGAGGTGATACATTTACCCAAGTTACAGTGCCTTAGTGATTTCATCCCGATTGGGCGGTTCAATCCCATGACCCACAGCAATTGTTTATTAATTTCAGTGATAGGTAAATAGGCGAATAGATAAATTAGATAGATGCATTGGCAGAAAGACAGGCCACTAATCTGCCAGGCAGTAACAAAGAATCGCTGCCTTTTTCTAAAAGGCTTCCATACTAACCCAGCAGCTACGGCTCAGCTGGTTGAGGGTTGTCCATGAATGAAAAGGTCACAGGTTTGATTGCTGGTCAGGGCGCATAACCAGGTTGTGGGTTCAGTCCCTGGTTGGCTTACTTGGGAGGCAACTGATTGATCTCTCTCTCTCTCTCCCTCCTCTTTCTCTTTAATCAATAAAAAAAGAGAGAGAGAATGAGAAGACAAGCCACACTGGGAGAAAATATTTGCAATAGATGCGTCTGATAAAGGACTGTTATCCAAAATTTACCAAGTATTCTTAAAACTCTACAATAAAAACAAATCTGATAAATAAATACACGAAAGGTCTTGACACCTCATCAAAGGAGATATACAGATGGCAACTAAGCATTTGACAAGGTGCTCAACATCACATCAATAGGGAAATGCAAATTCAAAAATGAGATACTATTACATACCTAACAGAAGGGTCAAAATCCAAAAAACTGACATCGGCAAATGCTGGAGAGGATGTGGAGCAACGGGAACTCTCATTCATCACCAGAGTGAACACAAAATGGTACAGCCATTGTGGAAGACAGCCTGGCAATTTCTGACAAAACTAAATATACTCTTACCACGCAATCCGGAATCACACTCCTTGGTATTTACCCAAATGAGTTGAAATCTATGTCCACACAAGGACCCGAACAAGGAAGTTCATAGCAGCTTGATTCACAATTGCCAAAACTTGAAAGCAGCAAGACGTCCTTCAGTAGGTGAACACATAATAAACTGTGGTCCATCCAGACAATGGAATATTATCAGCTATCAGCGCTAAAAAGGAACAGGCTAGCAACCCATGAAAAGACATAGAAGGAATTAAATACTTCTTGCCAAGTGAAAGAAGCCAGTCTTAAAGGGCTACCTACAATCCGCATGATTCCAACTACACGGCACTCTGAGGAAGGCAAAACTATGAACACGGTGAAAAGATGAGTGGTTGCCGGGGTGAGGGGGAGGCAGAAATTTTTAAGGCAAATTGAACCATATTTTAAATATTCTATGAAGGAACTGATACTTAAGTAACTTTATGATAAATTAATTTGCTAGAAGAGAATAATAAACAACATACTAAGCTGAATGTGTGATTATAAATCTTTTTCTTTTTTTTCTTTTTTTTTAATATATCTTTATTGATTTCAGAGAGNCTAAGCTGAATGTGTGATTATAAATCTTTTTCTTTTTTTTCTTTTTTTTAATATATCTTTATTGATTTCAGAGAGAGGAAGGGAGAGGGAGAGAGAGAGATAGAAACATCAATGATGAGAGAGTCATTGATCTGCTGCAGCCCGCAACCGGGGCATGTGCCCTGACCGGGAATCGAACCCTGATCGCCTGGATCCTAGGCCGATGCTCAACTGCTGAGCCACACCCGGCTGGGCTATAAATCTTTTTCTAGGACTACCTAGATGAAATGAGAATGTCATCTCACAATTAGAACCTTAGCTAAGTTCACAGTTAAATACATATCTTCTTGGCCTGAAGAAAAGCTAATTCTATACAAAATACAGCTCAAAAGCATTACCTACCACCTTCAAACCCTCTCTCCTCTATCTGTTTCACGCATGTCTGGGTAAACACATTTCAAGTGTATGACAATATTGAGGCATTTAATTATAAAGATCAAAACTGGAGACCAAATGTTGGTAACTAGGAATAAAGAATAATTTGAAAACCCATAAATTAACAAATCTATTTATAATTCTGTTGTAAAAAGAAGTTACTATTTTCAGTTATTATCTGTGCCTTGATTCAAAATATTACTATGATCTCCAGTCATGAAAGACTAAATAATAAAGACCAAGGTTCAGGAGAAGGGAGAGATGCAGAGAGCTGAGCCTGGCGTGTCCCTTCCAGTGTCTCCTGGTTCTAGCAGAGGTGACGAGAAGCTGGGCGCAGCTTTGGGCAGCCTCCTGGGGCCATCGTGGACAGGGCAAGACATCAGAGGAGTGGGCTTTTGGGAAGGAGGAAGGGAGGAAGGCTGAGAGGGAGCTTCTGTTGACCTTGGTGGTGGTCACGCAGGTGTTCTCTTTGGCATAACTGGCCGAGCTGTGCTCTGGTGCCTCGTGCACTCTCTGGATGCCTGTTACACTGCAAAGTAAAAAAATCATCCTAAGAAATCCCAGCCCGTGCGGATGTTGATGTTCTTAAATTCACTTCAACAAACACATTAAACATCTTCTCCGCGAAGGCCCCGTGGCAAGCGCTAGCTTTACAACTGCCCCCTTCCTTCACAACTTTACAATCTAGGGAAGCGATGACATCGTGAAAGGCCTCAGGATGGAGCTCAAGAGCTTAGCACTTACAACGACAACCAGTAACCTACTTGATAAAGAAAGAGAATGTCCGTCTGAATGGGAAGAGGAAATCCAATTTATAAATGTACACTTGGTTTCCTGTGGTCATGCTTCCGCTGGAATTTTAAGCATATTAACTGACCTGTGCACCTTGCAAGGCTAGAGCCCTGTTTTATTTACCTTTGAGTCCCCTGTTCCCTGCATATCTCTAGCCAAGAGATATAAGTACATGAGTGAATGAAGATAGTATGTAGAAGGTCTTCTTTAATGCATATGGTTGTTTATTTGACTTTTCCCTTTTAAACGTAAGGCTAGTTCAAAGCAGAGGTTTAAGTCCTTACATTTTATGGAAAAAATTAAGTGTCACGCATAAAGCTAGCGCTAAATGATTCTTTCATGATTATTGAAGATCCACTGTTTGACTTTCAATTTTTAACCTTAGACTGATCGGTGGCAATTAGATAATAATTGGTCTTCAGCACTGCACAGAGTTGTAACTTAGGCCAAGCTTTACATTCCACAGATGAGGAAATGGGCCCTGAGCAGTTTAATGACGGGCCCGAGCTCAAACTAACGCGTAACACTTAGGCAGCTCCGACCTGCGAATTCTCTCTTCACACTCCAAGGAGAAAACGTAGTCTGAGATCACTACGTTTAATTCATATTAGATACAAGGAAGTGGTGTGATTCTGCTTTAAGTAGAAAGGAAAAGGCAGGCAGGAAACACACAATACTTATATGAAAAAAAATAAAGACCTATAAATTGTGTGTATTTAATACGAACGTATGGTTTCGGTAGAGTCAAGGCCATTTCCTGGGGTTAGGCAATTGCGAGTTTTAAAAAATTGTTTATTATTATAAAAGTTGGAAAAGAATCTACCTTCACGATTATTTTCTATCTGCAATAAAGGAACGTACAGGCTACCTGACCCCCGATTTCCCGTGTTAATATTGTTCTTTTAATGGCAGCATCGTGTGTCTGAGGAGGTCCAGCCAGAGGACTCAGTCTCCGACGTGAACGCTCATACTCTGGAGGAAAAGTCAGGTAGACCACCAATACGTCGAATTAGCCTCTCGGATACACGAGCACTTTCTGAAAGAAACCCCGCGTGGCCACATTGGGCAGGCAGGGGAGGTTTTAGTGAGGCAGGCTGTTCCACCGGGCGGCTGGGAACCGGCAGGGAGGGCCTCCAGAGGCCGCCCCACGGGTCCCTGTCCCTGCCACCCCGGGGGCTTATGATGCCCGGTGGGGCCTCTTCACAGGTGGGAAGTAATCCTGGAGGCAGGTCCATTTCCAAGTTGTTATGCTAAACAGTAAAACTAGTCACGGCCCCAGATATCATTCATTCTTCCTAAGAAACTACTCAAGAGACCGGAACTAAGAGATTCAGAAATTGTCACGCTTCGATGGACCACGTTTTAATGACGGGTCTATTAAAGTGTCTGATTATTACAAGATTACCTGAGTATAGATTATACGCCTTTTGGGGCACGTGATCTTTTTCATCAAATTCAGACTGAATGAGTCATTTAAAATAAAAAAATGCCTGCACCAAAGAGATCATCTTTCCAGGGTTCAGATGTTTCTCAGGGTTAAAGGTTGGTTTAGAAAGAGAAGAGCGTTTCATGAAGACCAACTGGATTATAAATTCAGAGAAAACTTTTACTTTGCCAAAACATTTTGGAATCTAAAAATGAAAATGTAAATAAGCATGTGGAATATTTTTACCATCAAAAAGTTACAACAGGGCTCCTATTTACTTGGTTGTATACTGTATTAGCCCCAAATTGTCTCAAAAGTCACATCGTATTACTATTTTCCCATATGTGACTATTTTTGTTGTTTTATATTTAGAAAGATACGTTAGTTTCTTATTTTTCAGTTATAATATCGAGAGGGAATTAAAGCTGAAAATTTCATAATCGAAATCCTTTCTTGCTAATCTAACTGAAACGACATTTCCTTCAGTTATATTCTGGCCCCAGATGACATTTCTGGAGAAAAACTAATTCAAGTAAGAGCCTTGGCTGTCCAGCAACAGGAAAGGCCGGGTGTGAGACTCACCTTTGCTCCTTGAAAGATGACCGGAGCCACAGACTCAGGGCCGCCCCCACGAGAGCGGGCGCCTGGGAATGGCCGAGTGGGCAAAGCTGGTGCCTCCTGCCCCCTGCCCACTGGCCCCTGCCTCCTGCCCCCTGTCCCCTGCCTCCTGCCTCCTGCCCCCTGCCCCCTGCCCCCTGCCCCCTGCCTCCTGCCTCCTGCCTCCTGCC